TGATGTATCAAGCCTTGCCCAGCCGGTCCAAGAGCTCATCCACCCGCTGCGTGGGATACCCATCAAAGGTGGAAACTTGATTGACCTTCCTGAAGTCGTTACAGAAACGGAGGGTGTTGTCCGACTTTGGAACCATCACGATGGGGCTGGCCCACGGGCTACGGGAGGGCTCGATGATTCGTAGTTGGAGCATCTTCTTGACTTCCTCCTCTATAGCCGGCCGGCGAGCTTCCGGTATCCGGTAGGGCCGCTGCCGGACTACGACTCCTGGTGGTGTGCGGACCTCATGTTTGATGACGGTGGTTCTACCCGGGGTCTCACTGAACACATCCTGGAACTGACTGACCAGGGCCTTGAGTTCCGCTTTCTGGGTCGCTGACAGCTGCGGTTCCAGGTCCACTACTGGGGGCCCGGTATGGGCTATGCTGGGTGGTCACGAGATGTTCCTTAACCAGCGGCATGACCCAGTCAATCCGTTCTCTCATCTCCCGCACGTGCTCGACGAGGCTACGAAGGGGGGCGGGTTGGTTCTCCCATGCTTCCCGAGCCACGTCTAGAAGGCCCCTGGGCTGTCTCCCAAACAGCAGTTCGAAGGGGGTGAAGCCTGTGGGAGGCCTGTGGTACTTCCCGGACTCCAAAGAGCACGTACGGGATCATGAGGTCCCAGTCACGCCCATCTTCGGCCACCACCCGCTTCAGCATCCATTTGAGTGTCTGGTTAAACCGCTCCACCAGGCCATCCGTCTTTGGGTGGTAGACCGACGTCCTCAATTGTTGGACCTTGAGGAGGTAACAGAGGTCCGCCATGACCCGGGACATGAAGGGGGTACCCTGGTCAGTCAGTCAAGTCAAGTCACCTTTATTTATATAGCGCTTTTAACAATACAGATTGTGACAAAGCAACTGAACAGCATTAATTAGGAAAATAGTGTCAATAATGCAAAATGACAATAGTAAACACTAATTTTTCAGTTAAAGACAGTTCATCATTGAATTCAGTGATGTCAACATCCAGCTCAGTTTAAATAATATCTTTGCAATCATGTCAATGATAACGCTGGAAATGAAGTGTCCGCAACTAAGTAAGCCAGAGGCGACAGCGGCAAGGAACCAAAACTCCATCGGTGACAGAATGGAAAAAAAACCTTGGGAGAAACCAGGCTCAGTCGGGGGGCCAGTTCTCCTCTGATTCTGAGTCAGGATATCCTTTGGGACCCCGACGCGGCTGGCCAGTAGAAACAGTTCGCGGGCAATGTTCTTGGCGTTGGCCGCTCGAAGTGGAATGGCTTCCGGGTACCGGGTGGCATGGTCCAGGATAACCAGGATGTGCTCATGTCCCCGGGCAGACTTCAGCAGCGGTCCCACCGGATCCATCCCGATCCGCTCGAAGGGCACATCGATGACGGGTAGTGGAATGAGCGGGCTGGGGGAGGACGGCACGGAGACGTCTGCTGGCAGGTTGGACAGCTACAGCCAGTGAAAACGGTTCCGGATGCGTTGGACGGTATTGTCGGCTTCTAGGTGTCCCGCCATTGGGTTACGCTCGAAGGGCACATCGATGACGGGTAGTGGAATGAGCGGGCTGGGGGAGGACGGCACGGAGACGTCTGCTGGCAGGTTGGACAGCTACAGCCAGTGAAAACGGTTCCGGATGCGTTGGACGGTATTGTCGGCTTCTAGGTGTCCCGCCATTGGGTGGCCGTGTGCCAGCTCCATGACCGTCTCGGTGGTAGGCATGACCAGGAGGAATTTGTCCTCCCCCCGCCTGTGGGCGACACAGTACAGCAGACCATTTCGTATTTCAAAATGAGGGAGGGGGTGGGGGCCCGGGAGCCTGTCTACCTCATCAATGCGGCGCACTTGATCCCAGCAGTTCCGCAGGCGGTCGTCCTCGCGTTGCTCCCTTCCGAACGAGCCCCCAGTCGTGACCTGGGAAAACACATCAAGGTAGACAGACGGTAGATTAGCGGGCTGACACTCACCCTCCCTCTAGCTGTCCGTTGCTAGGTAGGCCGGCCTTGGGCTGGGCGGTCCCCGACGGGGTCGCTGTGGCCCGTTCCGGGCGGTACGGCCTGGCATCCTGGATCCGAGGAGGAGCTTCTGGAACCCCGGCCAGTCCCGTCCCAGGAGCAGAGGTACGGGGAGATCCGGCACAATGCCCACCTCGATGGCCCAGGCCCCGGGCTCCGCTGAAATCCGCACTGTACAGGCCGGTACATAGCGGGTGTCTCCATGCACACACGTCAGCGGCAACTTGGATTTCTGCTCAGGCCTTGGTTGTACCAGGGACGGTTGCACGAGGGTGACTGAACTGCCGGAATCCAAGAAGGCCTGTACTGGTTTCCCTTCTAGTTTTACCATCCTGCTGGGGCCCGGGGTAAAGTCCATCCTGGTGCAGGAAACACCCCGCCATCCAGGCCCGGGCCGTCGGGGCCGGGGGTTCCGTGGGCATTGGCTCATCCGCCAAGTCGGGACCGCCGGTCTGCTGGCTGGTCACAGTGCACCTTCAAGCGGACGCCGCTCCATCACCCTGCGGGGTGCCAGGCCCACTCTCTCCCCTGCCTCGCAGGCGTTCGTTGCCGCCGCCAGCTCGACCGCCTCTACCAGGCTGTGGATGTCCTGGGGATTTCGCATACAGACCGGGCGCCTCGGCGGGCGGGGCAGTGCCCGTAGCAGCCGATCGATGAGCACTTTCTCGGCTACCTGGTCCAGGGTCAGGGACCCCGAGAGAAGCCACAGGTGAGTCAATCGGGCCAGTTGCGCAGCTTGCGCTCTCACTGGCTGCCGTTCATCATAGGTCCATTGATAGAACTGTTGCGCCGCCCCCATGGGCGATAGGCCCACCCGAGCTAGGATTTCGGCTTTGAGCTTGTCATACTGTTCATTCTGGGGTGCCCTCAGGGCATAATAGGCCCGCTGCGCTTCTCCGGTGAGGAAGGGGGCGATGATGCGTACCCACTCTTCCTGGACCCACCCCTCCCGGGCCGCGATGACCTCAAATGTGTGGAGGTAAGCCTCGATGTCGTCGTTCTCGGGCAACCAGATGAGGTATTGGTGCGCTTTGACCTGCGCTTCCGGGAGGGGCAGGCGCCCCGCCACGCTGGCCTGCAGCTGTTCCAGTGAAGTGCTGTGGTGCAGATCCCTCTCCCAGGGTGCCTTCGGAGTCTGTGAACAAGGAGAAACAAGCATTAATGTCGCCTGGAGCTCCGGGGTGCCCTCCCGCTGGTGTCTCTTCTCCTGGCTTTTATGGCCAGTGGGAACGAGCTCCAGGTGCACCACTCATCACGCGCAGGTGTTGTGCATAGGTGATCAGTGTGGCAGCGGCGTTTCCAGGGCGACGCTAATCTGGACTCGGTATACTCGCCACAATAGGAATAACACTGTAAGTTTTGGTGTATGTAAGTGCTGCTGAAATTGAGAAAGAAACTCACGGCCTTCAAAGATATGCAATTTCACCCTGTGTTTTAGGAGTAAAATGTTATAGAAATCAGCATGAGTGATATATGAACAAACCCCTCAGTAAAAATCTTCAGAATATAGATAGGAATAACACTGTAAGTTTTGATGTATGTAAGTGCTGCTGAAATGGAGAAAGAAACTCATGGCCTTCAAAGATATGCAATTTCACCCTGTGTTTTAGGAGTAAAATGTTATAGAAATCAGCATGAGTGATATATGAACAAACCCCTCAGTAAAAAAAACTACTATAAAACTGCTAAGTCTGGTGTATGCAAGTGCTGCTGAAGTGGAGGAAAACACTAATTTTGAGAAAATGGCCTTTAAAGAAACGCATTGTAATTGAAATATACAGATGTAAATATAATTAAATGAATTCTAAAATGTGCATTTTAGATGTTTCTTTCTTTCTAATAGTCTAATAAAGACGTTATGGAAGCAAAGTAACCTAAAATCTCAAAGTTGACTGGAGCACGAAAAAGAAGGAACATGATTTTGTCTGTAGTGTCTCGCCTTAAGATTCAGTCTCATTGCGTCTGAAAGTAATTGCATAAATACATATGAACATCGAGCAAAGACAATGCCATTTGTAACGCTTTAGCAAGACAGAAAACTTCTGTAACAGTCAGTGTATTGTATATCCTAATTTTTGTGTTAAAACATGAATGGGAAAAAAAACCGCTAAAAATGAGCATCCAGTTAGTGGTCGTGCATGAGCTGGTAAGAATTTAAATTCAAAATGTTTATTGAAACACATTTTTTGGCCAGAAACACAAGTATTTCCTTTATCAAAAACTAATAATATTGCATGACATATTCTTCTCAGTTGCTCAGTGTAAATTCTGTTAATACATTTTTTTTTTATATTACAACCTCTCAAAATGGCATTGCAAATTATAAACTACCCAAATGAACTGATGAATATAAAATTAAAGCAAACTTAAAAGGAATCAGTGTAGCCTGTCTTACAGAAAATGAAGAATTCAAATGTATTGAGTAAGAAAAGAATAACATTCAAAAATGCTTTTTTTATGTACAGATACAGTGTGTGTGCTGATTATGTATAATGGTTTATATGCCATTATCAAATTAAATTTTTGTTTGCATTATCTCCCTGTTAACAGCAATTCTTAGTAGGAGGTGTTATAAAATAATTTGATAAATTATGTAAATATTTGTCACTCTGTTTCTCCATAGACATTGGATTTCTAAGCAAATCTGGACCTGAAACAAACTAATAGGTTTCACAAAAGTATATAAAATCACTTCATACAGTACACATCAACAGTTTGTACATTATTGCCAAAAATAAAAAATTTTATGGAGATTATCAGTGGCATTTTACTTCTGGAACCCTACAGCTAAATATGAATCTGAATATGCATAGCTGCAATGTTGATGTCATATGTCATAATTTGTTAAAGTCTTAGTAAAACCAAAATGTAAGTGATATTTAGGATGAGTAACATTAATGCTCAAGTTAAATCGTTAAATATACAATTTAAAAATCAATGTTGTTGATCTGTACGAGAAAAATCGGCTTTAAGAACGAACATACTGTACTGTGCAATAAGACAGTGTTACAAGTAAATTTAAATCATGATATATTTTGAAACGTATTCAAAGATGTTCACAGAGATTATGACAAAAGCATCCCTTGTTTCCACAATCGTACATGTTGGGCATGTTTATTGAGGTATCACCAGTTTTGGAAAGAAAACTGGTACCGTCAATCCTATCAGTTCATTTTTGCAAAGTGGTGCTCTTTTGGTCAAAGTAAGAGTAAGAGTCTGTTCCAATATCGCGCTCATCTCTCTGAGTCTTGTCTGAGATTTTGTTGGGTGGTGTTGGTTGTCCTGCGGGTTAGTTAAGGGACTTCAGACGGCAGGCCTGGTCAGTTAGAGGTATCCGAGTGAACGCTGTTTGCTCCCTCTATAGGAGATGTCACAGAAGACGGAGTGACAGCATCATGCCAGCCACCGTTACCCTGAAAACAGACACGGAAAAGACCATTTGACACGTTCAATTAAAGTCAGAATGGAAACAGTAGCCGGTATTAATTTTTAAGGGTAGGATCAGATAAGATGCTTTGTTTGTATCCTTTTTAACTAAACTGATGAAACAAAATCCAGCTTAAATTGGCCAGCTATCCACTGATTGGCCAGCTATCCAGTGAGTTGTGATTGGTCGAATACCTCAAGCGTGTGACGGAAATGTTACGCCCCTTACCATATTGTGATGCCGTGTTTAGTGACAGATTTGATTAATTAATTAATTAATTTTTTGCTCTGTTTGTATCTATTTTATCTTAACTGTTGGTTGCCACGCTGAAACAAAATCCATCTTAAACCAGCCTGGTCTGGTTAGGCTGGTCCATTCATATGGTTTTAGAAGCTTTTTGGACACTTGTCAGCTTAAACTTAAAACCAGCTTAAACTGGGAAACAGTTTAAACACAGTTCTGCTAGGCCATCATTGAGTCTGTCCTGTGTTCATCTATAACTGTTTGGTTTGGCTCAGCCACCAAATCAGACATCAAGAGACTACAACGGACAGTCAGGACTGCTGAGAAGATTATTGGTGCCCCCCTGCCTAACCTCCAAGAACTTTACACCTCCAGAGTGAGGAAAAGGGCTGGTAAAATCACCCTGGACCCCTCACACCCAGCACACTTCTTCTTTGAACTGTTGCCTTCTGGCCAGTGCTACAGAGCACTGAGTGCCAAAACAGCCAGACACAAGAACAGCTTTTTCCGCCAGGTCATATTCCACCTGAACAATATACAGTATAACACCTCAGGAATGTACACCGGTATACAGTATTAGAGAGTCGACATAGCTGCCTCAATAGATAAATGAACCTTTAACGCTGTGACTCCAGATCGACAATTCTCTCAGAGAGAGAGAGAAAGAGAGAGAGTGTAGTTCAATAAGAAGGCAGATATACTGCCAAGAGCCGTGCATGTCGTTGTGTTATTAGATGCATTTCAGAAAATGGAAATGGAACGCGTTTGCTCTCTATTCCAGCAAACAGCCCCGTGTGCATGTGTGAATATTAATATGAATCCATACGTCTGCCTTTTCACAGAAGCGGCATCACCTCTCCCAGACTTAATCTCAGCTGTCGTCTTTGTCGGCTCGTGGAGCGACGGTTTGATCATTCGACGTCTGTCTGAATGACTCCAGGAGACCTGCTGCGAAGAGATTATTCCTTCCCACCACATGAGACGGCATGTGTGTGTGTATATTGCATATGTGTGTCAGTAATATTCGGTCTCAAATGCACTTTTACACTAGAGCTTTTGTTGAGGATTTGAGTCTGTTTCGAGTCAGAATTTAGTTGAAAGCATCCAAGCATTCTCATCTGCAATTCTGGCTAAAATGTTTTGATTTGTTTCTCTGTCATACTCACGTTCAAGCCATGTGGGCTGTAAAGCGGGTTTCCCTGCAGACCGTCATTGTAACCCAACGACTGACCGATGGCGTGACGTATGGAGTCTCCCTGCAGAGAGAAAGACTGGAGATTCAGCGTAAGAGAGTCATGAACCACTGTACACCATTAAAACCAAAAGGAAACAGCAAATATTTCACATTTAACCTACAGCAGTAATTCAGCTTTGCATGACAGGAATACATTACATTTGACAATATATTCACAAGAAAAATGTTCACAAGAATTGTAATAATTTCACAATTTTTAATTTATTTTTGATAAAAAATAAATGCAGCCTTGGTGAGCAGACTACTTTCAAAAACATTCAAGTTATATTGTGCGCTGTAGAAAAAATCTGTGAGATTTATGGTAAAATACCGGCAGCTGTGGTTGCCAGAACTTCACCGTAAAAATATGGTAGCAACATTTTAGGTTTTACAGACTTAACTTAAATTCACAATAAAATACCGTATTTCATTAACTGATGTAATGTTAATAAACCAACATATTGAAGTGTTAATATCTGTTTTGAACCATTGTAATGCACTGATAACCACCAAAAACTGGTGGTGATGAGAAAGTCACGTGATGAACCAAAGCTCATCACAAACAGCTTTTCTACGAGCTGAGGAGGGCAATACTTATATATAGAAGGTGCACAGTGTCATTCACACAAACACTAAACACCATCATGGTGACACACACGATACTGAAATAATGCAATAAACATTAATTTAACAACATTAGATGTAAGATTAAACCCTAATGTACACAACTGATAAGAAAAAACTAAGAAGAAACATGTTATTTCAACAAAAAAACATCAAATATGAAGTGTCATGCAGGGAATTCTGGGAGTGTCAATTTACAGTTTGTCACTGTAAATTATACAATTACTTTTTCTTTTTCACTTCCAAAAACCGTATGTATAACAGTATTTTACTGTAAAATTACATTAAATGTATAGTATGGAAACTTACTGTTAACCAGTCAACAGGTTTTTACTGTAGCATTTTTACAGTCTTTTACTGTTAAAATCACAATCATTTTTTACAGTGTGCCGTAAATTATTTTATTGTTGTTTATATGTGTTGTATACAGTATATATTGTATCTATGTTGGTGTGTGTGATACCTGTGTCTGTCCTGTGTTGGGGACCTGGGTTGGCTGGTAGGATCCATTCAGGCCGGACATGCTCATAAAAATGTCTCCTGAACCCGGCAAACTATACGAACCCGAAGAACCTACAGAGAGACGGAGAGAAAGAGGAACTGTGAGTCTGTGAACGCTAGTTCTGAGAAAAGCTCTAGCATTATTTGTTTGCAGATGCCACTTGGTTTGATCATTTTACCTGTGATATAAGGAATTTTGACGTTTTTAAGCATGACATGCATGTTAAAATAATTTTCCAGATGTTTTTTTTTGAGCCAATGTATATGCATGTACATAAACACACAAAGTTGAACAGTGAGGGAGTGTTGAATGGGAAGAACAGAACACAGACAGAGGAAGTTCACTGTAATTTTATAACAAATCATCACAGGAAGTGTCTGCAAGTCCAGGGCTATTATAGTATTATAGTGAATGAATGAATAAATATTAATTTAATTTAACTTGATGTACTACAACAATTGAAATTTAAAAAAAAATTATATAAACTATATAGACATCAAAAAACTAATAAAAATGACAAAAACATCAAAATGACAAAATGCAAACAGAAAAAAAATAAAACTATAATAGTATCTCAAATGACACTAAAGCACTAAACACTGTAACATACCCGTGAACATGTTGTTTAACAGATTATTTTTATCTTCTGCCGCATCCAAGTGAAAGTCTTCATCTTTCATCTGAAAGCCTGTAGAGAAAATGACAGAACTAAACTCTTTAATTACTTATTTCAAAAACGCATGTTCAAGACCCAATAATTGCACTAGAACAACTCTATCTGCAACATAAGGGCGACCGGGGCTAGTTACTACATTACCCACAATCCTGAAGCCGCTGTTACTGTGGAAACGGTAATTGCTGTAAGGTGGGTCCTGTTTGTAGTTTTTCTAGGTAACGTTAGCTAGTTACTAGCGGTGTTGTTTTTATTTAAAAAAACAACAACAATAAAAAACATCATTTTTGTTAATTAAAATAATTCTGAAATAAAATATGAATCAACTTATATAAAACTAATATAAATTAAATGTTATGCATAAATAATTTAAACTAAGTGAAAATGAAACGTGTTTAAGTTAAAGTACTAAAATTACTAACTGAAATAAAAAAACTAACTAATAAAAAAGACAAAAGCACATTTCAAAATTGTGTATATGTGTTATGGCTAATTCAAACAAAATCTTAAGTAAAAATAAATTTAAATATTTAGAATTTTAAAAATCAAAATGACAAGCACATATTAAATAACTAAAACTTTAACTAAAATTCTAATAAAAACTGAAAATATCAAATTAAAAACTAAATATAAATAAATATAATAAAACTAAATATAAATAAAAATAAATGAAAAATATTTAGATTATAAAAAAATCATAAAAATGACAAAAGCACATATCAAATGACTAAACATTAAACAAAATATAAAAATAAAAAATATTATATAAGTATATAATATTATACTCTCTCATGCAACTACAGTTCATTTTGTTTGTGTCTCATTTAGGGGTGGATTTATCTGAAAATGAGCAGAAATAGACTTTATGATTTGGATTTCTACCTGACTAAAAGTAATGATTACTAATTTGTTCAGTATTCAGAGTCTAATATACAATTCTGCACATATATATCTATATAGTTTACTTGCTCAAAGGTGTGCGGACTGGGGCTCAGACTACCTAGCCACCTACTTAATGTTAGTTAATATGGGAAATTGTAGCATTGGAGGATGAAGACTAGTTGTGTTAACAACCAACTGAACCGACTAAATTGTTTGCAATTCTTTACGGTTGTAGTAGCTCTTTAATTCCTATAAAAAGTAAATTTTTGCACATTTGTACACAAAAATAGACCTTTTGTCATTCGATTTTCACACACGGTTTTGCAAAACAAATGTTGTGATGTTGTGAGCCATCTACTAAACTCTATTTGAACTTTATTGAGAAACTTTCTGAAATCTCAATGGGAAAATACTTCCAGGATCCATGCGGCAGAAAACTGGGTACTCACTGTTGCGGTCTAAATCACTTCACACTCGTGTTGAGATGTTACTGGGCAGCATTGCTGTGCTTCATCACTATTTTGAGCCAAATGTTCTGCACCTTCACAGTGTCACAGACCGCCTCTAACAAATTTGTTAGTTATTTTGCTCAGATTGTGAATACAATCTTCTTGTTTGACAGCTGAAGGCTCGTGTGCGCAGTATCGTCCGAGATCTGGACTACAGGAGGACAGACTGACCTGTGACAAAGTGATGGTACACTTTTTGGCCAGCTCCTCTTTGGCCTCTTCGCTGGGATACGGGTTACTGAGGTGAGAGTAGAAATACTCGTTCAGAATCTCTGTCGCCTGCTTGCTGAAGTTGCGCCTTTTTCTCCTGGAGAAAGAGGAATCATTAGTATTGTTAGATCCTCAACCGTTTCAATATCTTTATATAATATTAAAAGTTATTAAAGCTGAAGTGTGTATTTCTGCTAGCAACATCACTGCAAAAAATGCCTTTCTTCCTCAGTATTTTTCTCTTGTTTTTCAGTACATTCTTAAATTAAAGCGATATTTACTTGAGAAGTAAAATGACATAAAATATTAAGTCTTGGCTTCTGAATAATGTATCAAAATTAAGTGATTTTACGGCTGAAACAAGAAAAGACATCTGCCAATAGGGTCAGAAAGATATTCTTGTTTTCTCTTTGAATTAAGTTCTAACCCCACTGGCATATTTTCCTTTTCTTGTTTTAAGCACAAACTCGCTTCATTTCTCAAGTAATTGTACATTTACATTTACATTTAATCATTTAGCAGATGCTTTTATCCAAAGCAATCTGCAGAAATGTATCTTTCTGGTTGGTGCAGAAATGTATCTTGCTTTAACCCTTGTGATGTGCTGAAAATCCTTTACCTACAGTCATTTGGTATTCCTGGTCAAAAATGGCCTTTTAAAAATTGCTTGTAAATTTCCCATTACACTATATTATCACAAAATATTTGATTTCTTAAAAATATTTGAAATGTTTTCTTTCAATTAGCATTGATTTAGCATTTCTTTTTGGAGCTGATTCATCATATGCCTCCTTAATCTGAGCTTATGCACCTACTTTTTTGAGTGGAAAAAATTTTGCCAGTGCTCACTCAAAAATTGAGGTGCATACGTTCAGATCAGTGAGCTCTTCAATCATTCAGTTCCAAAAAAAAGAAATGCAAAACCTGTGTTAATTGAAAGAAAACAAGTTGATAAAAAGATTGACTCCAATATTTGTTGATAATGTAGCATAATGAGAAATGTATAAGCATTTTTGTAGGCTGGTCATTTTTACTGGGAACACCTAAGATTTAACAAAGACATAAGAAAAAAATTAATAGTAACATTAAAAACGGAAACTGACAAAAGCATATAACATAATCACTAAACTGATTACTAAATTACTAAACATAAACTAAACTAAAAATATAAAAAAATAAGCTAATATAAAATATTAATAAAAACTACAACAGTATATGAAATAGTATATGCAAGCAGCAGTTAATGGGCCAAGCAAAACAAAGGCAAAATTAGGAACTAAGCATGGCATGGAGCATCAGTCCAACTGCAACAATGACAAATTAAAGCTTTTAGGATGATTTTAGTCAAAATAGCTGAAAAATCATAAATATAATCGCTAGTAATACGATTTTCTGGTTTATCACTTTTGACCAATAGGTGGCATCATTATCAAATTGTTATGGTGTGCTCAGTGTGAAGGGACATTGACACACAAAAAGTTTGGTGTCAATATGGCAAAGTATTGCAGAGTTGCAGCCTCAGAATCAGCTTGGCATCATGCCAACAATTTCATTGATGCGTTATTCAAAAACGGTCAGGTGTATCAAAAAGCTTTTGATAACTCTTTGTCGGCATAGTCTAAAGATTATCTGAGTCAAATTTGGTGAAAATCGGACCAATGGTCTAGGAGGAGTTCGAAAAAGTAGGTTATCAACTTAAATCAAAATGGCGGACAAGAAGTTCGGCTGACTATGGCAAAATTGATATCTATGTTCTCGGCATGACCCAAATAATATATTGAGAGTTTCCTAGGCTAATATACTGAAAAGTTAGCCTTTTTGGAAATTTCATTATAACTTTTGAGTACCATCAGGGCATGGTGCCGAAGACACATACCGAGTTTCGTAACGATACACAGATGTTTTCATAAAATATAGCATTTTATGACAAAATTCAAAATGGTTGACAGCCAAAATTGCTGACATGGGAAAATTGGGTATCGTTCAACTCGGCATGCTGCACCTAAAGAGTTTTGTGATTTTTGGCCAAACCATTAAGAAGTTATAAGCAAAAATAGCCGTTTTTCATATCTCCTGGCCACAAGGTGGTGCTGCGCCGAAACGGTGCAAGTAACCTCAGGTCATGGTTATCCTAGTCTCGCATAGCCAGACCTTCAGACTGATGGCTGAAGGTCTGGAACCCATGGCAGCTTTCATTGGCCAAGGCCCGCCCATGAGGCCGTTTGACCAACATGTCAACCAACCAATCACAGTTCGTTTCGTTCAGCGTCACATTTCGGGGCGTGGAAATGTTGCCACAACAACAGACCAGAGTGTAAAACTCTCGGACGTATTTTAAAGATTATATGCCGCGAACTTTAAATATTTCACATACTTTTGAAACTCCAGCGTTTAGTTGATCCTGATAAGCGCTCGTCGTCACAGTTGTAAACACTACGACTTTCTTCTTTTGTGAGGGGGTTTGGCGTCACGGCATCTTTGTTTCCAGACGGAACCTTAAACAACGTGACACGCACGTCTCCCGGAAATCCTGTAGAATTCAACCAATTCGATGATGACTTTGACACTCCTGAAGTGTTTCCACTTTTGTGTCCCATATGCATCAGACGTTTAGCCAACGGTCCGTGGGCATGACGTCTGAGGCTGAGACTATGGTTATCATAACACACAACAACCCTGTGTTCCATTCGGAAGGGCTCATCCCTATGCCCTAATCCCTTCAAAGGGTTTACCCTCCGGAGTGAGAGCTTTGAAGGTTTGAAGGGTGTAGGGGACCAAACAACTGTTTCTTTGCCCTTCTGTGTCATCATCACGTGCTCACACGGAGGCGCCGTCATCATGCAAAGAATCTGCGCAAAGGATCATGGGAGCCCGAAGTGTCCATAAGTTGTACCCTTCGAAATCCTTCATTCCGAAGGGCCCTTTGAAGTGGCCAGTTTTGAGCACTTCGGTTTGGAACGACCCTTCAATATGGCGGCCATGATTGTTTTCACTCCGAAGTACCCTTCGGAGGGCGATATATCCCATTTGGAACACACCGCAAGTTTGGTATGAATACAACAAAGTGTTGGAAAGATATAGCTTCATGTCCGATTTACAGTACGGGCAAGTTTTTAGTGGAATTAATTTGTGCGGTCAATCAAAAAGCTTTTGAATACTTATTGCCAGCATGGTTTGAAGATGATCTGAGCCAATTTTGGTGAATATCAGACAAACTATCTAGGACAAGTTAGAAAAAGTAGGTTGGGGGGAAACAAGCTGATAAAAAGATTGAATCCAATATTTGGTAAAAATATAGCAAAAGTTATAAGTTAAATTTATAAGCAGTTTTTTTGTAGGCTGGTCATTTCTGACCTCTATGCCGCGAACTTTAAATATTTCACATACTTTTGAAACTCCAGCGTTTAGTTGATCCTGATAAGCGCTCGTCGTCACAGTTGTAAACACTACGACTTTCTTCTTTTGTGAGGGGGTTTGGCGTCACGGCATCTTTGTTTCCAGACGGAACCTTAAACAACGTGACACGCACGTCTCCCGGAAATCCTGTAGAATTCAACCAATTCGATGATGACTTTGACACTCCTGAAGTGTTTCCACTTTTGTGTCCCATATGCATCAGACGTTTAGCCAACGGTCCGTGGGCATGACGTCTGAGGCTGAGACTATGGTTATCATAACACACAACAACCCTGTGTTCCATTCGGAAGGGCTCATCCCTATGCCCTAATCCCTTCAAAGGGTTTACCCTCCGGAGTGAGAGCTTTGAAGGTTTGAAGGGTGTAGGGGACCAAACAACTGTTTCTTTGCCCTTCTGTGTCATCATCACGTGCTCACACGGAGGCGCCGTCATCATGCAAAGAATCTGCGCAAAGGATCATGGGAGCCCGAAGTGTCCATAAGTTGTACCCTTCGAAATCCTTCATTCCGAAGGGCCCTTTGAAGTGGCCAGTTTTGAGCACTTCGGTTTGGAACGACCCTTCAATATGGCGGCCATGATTGTTTTCACTCCGAAGTACCCTTCGGAGGGCGATATATCCCATTTGGAACACACCGCAAGTTTGGTATGAATACAACAAAGTGTTGGAAAGATATAGCTTCATGTCCGATTTACAGTACGGGCAAGTTTTTAGTGGAATTAATTTGTGCGGTCAATCAAAAAGCTTTTGAATACTTATTGCCAGCATGGTTTGAAGATGATCTGAGCCAATTTTGGTGAATATCAGACAAACTATCTAGGACAAGTTAGAAAAAGTAGGTTGGGGGGAAACAAGCTGATAAAAAGATTGAATCCAATATTTGGTAAAAATATAGCAAAAGTTATAAGTTAAATTTATAAGCAGTTTTTTTGTAGGCTGGTCATTTCTGACCAGGAACAACAGAAGTGTAACAATGTAGGGGGAAAAAAGTCCCCAAAAATTACCAAAAATTATCCAGTTAGTTGTTAAACACTGTGTGGGCAAAGTTAGGAAGTTTTAGTTCAATGTGATAACAAACATTAACTAGCATTTTCAGGAAAAAGAAAATTCTTTCTGGCTCAAAATGACCAAAACACAATGTGAAGGTTAAAAATGTTTCAATACTTGTAATGGAAAACAAGACAAAATTGCTAAGTAAGAAAACAGCAAATTGTTTTTAGCTGATTAGCATGATCCAACGATTCCCTGCTGGTAGATGCCATAACTATACCACAATACTTAAAGTATAAATTATTGCATGTATATATTATTGGCAGTTATACGTCAGCCACTGTCATTAGGTTGTATCCCATAAACATTCCCTGATGTGGCATAAAAACTTATTCGCTTAAAACAGTGAGACTAGATTAAATCTGACTTTAGCAGCCAATCTCTCACTCTCTCTCGTTATGATGTCATCACTGAGCCCACCAATCACTGTTTGCTTCATTTGCATTCCAGTTGAATAAGTTTCTGATGAGCAGATTTATGCAGAATTTACTCTTTGATTTAAGTAACTCGTGCCCTTGCAAGCCAACCGGCAGTAATTGGCAAATTTCCCAATCCCACTCAATTTATCCTTCTGCCAGTTTAAGCAAAACACTCATAAAACCTTAAAATATTACCACATCACCCACACGTTCACACACGCCTCACTCTCAGCACATCCAATACAATCAGAAACAAACCCACACTCGCAAAAATACCTACTTGTGTAAAAACACGGACACACAATAAATAACAACTATTTTTTATTAAAAAAATGCTTCATTATCTAAAGCTATTTGCAGTGTATTATTAGTAGGATAGTCTCTTTGGGACAAAATGATGTTTGAATTCACTAAACAGTTTTGAGCTTTGTATTTTAGAGCAGATACCTGGGGCTTATTCACTAACCACCTTTAATCCAAGCCTTATCTATGCTAAATATCAAGCGTAGCGTTAGTTCTGGCAGGTCACGTTAGTCAAGCTCGCATCAGCTGACCTTCAGCTGATCCCCATCAACCTATGGGAATATGACACCTATCTAAGCATTCATATATAAGGTCCCGCAGTAGTATCAGCAGTTTTCGCATTGCTCAATAGCTAATTACCCTCCTCCATCCCCAGCTCCTCCTCTGTCAGTCAGGATTCAGCCTTCTGATTCTCCTTGAATCAGACTAATTCTAAAATGTGTACATAAAATGATTGAACTTTAACAATATCTGCAATACATTTATGTTAGTTCTGTTCTGTTTCCCCTGGGGGGTTATTGCTGCTCTCCCCGGTCTCATCCATGCTAGGCTGCATGGAGGCGCAGGGAGTTCTTGCCCAGAACAGAACCATACCGCCAATCCAAACTGTATGCTAATTGTCAATCATCTTTGACGATAGTGGTCCTGACAGAACTATGCTTATCTGTGTAAATGAGGTGTATTATATAGATTTCACCTTATTCACATAAGCAAACACATATACATTACGGGCAAAATGCATGCATTAAATGTTATGCAAGATGTTAAGAAATTTTTTTTTAAACCTAAATAATAATATAAAAACAGAAAACTGACAAAAGCATATAAAAGCATATATCAATAATACTAAAGTAACATCTTTTCTATTTAAATTAGGTCTAGATTGCACCTAATTCACATAATGAAACATATACTGGCAAAATGCATGCATCAAATGTTGTGCAAGATGATTTGGAAAAAAAAAAACCTACAACTGAAAAAAGTAAATTAAACCTAAATAATAATATAAAAACGAAAACTGACAAAGCATATAACAAAATTACTAAAAATTAAACTAAACTGAAAATGTAAAACATTGGCTAATTCAGAATATTACGGTAATAAAAACTAGATATGTACATTTGACTTATCTTTTCAAGTAACCAATAAGTAATACCCTATGAACTTCATAGCCACACCCTAGCAACCACTTACAGCAGCCTAGCAACCACCCCATAGACTTCCATTTAATCAGATCAAAAGGGATATCTTTGGATAGAAGTGTTATGGGGGTTTTGCTCTTTTGACGCATGCTAGCAAACAGGACTTCCATCATGCATGCTACACATGCTAGCAGTGAATAGCTGCATGCTAATAGTGATTAGCTAAGTGCTAAATCAGGCTAAGAACTCTACATAACTCCATAGTAACAATCTGTGACAACTATCAACCACCTAGCAACACGAAAGCAACCACCTAGAACACCCTAGCAAAGCCCTAGCAACCACCAGAACACCCAAGCAACCACCAAGCAACCACTCATGCTACCATAGCAACTGCCTAGCAACCACTCTGGATATCCTAGCAACTGCCTAGCAACACCATAGCAACCACCCAGAACACCATAGAAACCGCCTAGCAACACCCAAACAACCATCCAGAACACCTTAGCAACCACCTAGCAATGCCTTAGCAACCACCCAGAACACCTTGGCAACTGCGAAGCAACAACCTAACTACCACCCAGGATACCCTAGCAACCGCGTAGCAACACAATAGCAACCACCCAGAACACTCCAGCAACCACCTTGCAACAACTCATAACACCCTAGCAAATCACCTAGCAACATCCTAGCAACCACCCAGAACACCTTAGCAACACCCTAGCAACTAAGTGCTGAGTTTTGCCACTGCATGCACCACTCACATTTTCTTCAGGAAATGTACATTCTAGTAATATATAAGTAATACTAGAAAAACACAACCTATTTGAACGAAGTGTATTATAGATTGCACCTCATTCATGTAAGGAAACGCATATACTGGCAAAGTGCATGGATTAAAGGTTATGCAAGATGGGTTGGATAAAAAATTAATAAATAAAACTAAAACTAAAACTTAAATAAAAATAAATTACACCTAAATTGTAATATAAAAAAGCAGAAAACTATCAAAAGCATATAACAAAATGACAAAAAATTTAAATATTAAAATAAAAGCTAATTCAAAATATTAATAGCTTGTCAAAACCACAAAAACACACCTTTTCTAAACATATATACCGGCAAGATGCAGGCAATACATTTTATGCAAGATGTTTTGGATACAATTGTCTGCCAAATGCATGACTGTAAATGTGTTTCACACAGTTTCTGACCTGGCGTCGAGAAAGCGAGACCTGAGGATCATGACGGCCTCGCAGGTGCTCTGCTTGAGCTGCATCTGGATGGTGCTGAATTTGCGGTGGATGATGTTCACCATGCGCTCGATCTCTTTGGGTGAGATGGGTCGCGTGCGAGACTGTTCCCTCAACAGGTTCATCACATGGGTAGTGAACTCATTACACGCCTGTGAACCAATCAAATTACTCATAACTGATAATGCAAAGACATCAACTAAAACTAAAACTATGAAAACATTTTTGTTAACTGAAATTAAGCTGAAATAAAATAAAATGGAAATATTCAATGAAAAATCTTGAATGAAAATGAGAAATGCTGCCTTGGCAGCTAACTGAAACGTTTAAATTGAATCACTAAAATTATTATCTGGAAATAAAAGAAATAGATAAAAGAAATGTTCTGTAAAGTTATGTATGTTTTGTATTGTTTTGTATAAATTGTCTTGCTGTGTGATATTTTTCTACTTCTTGTAAAGCGATCTTGAGGTCTTCAAAGTTACTATATAAAAAAATATTATTATTATGGTCCCACTTTATATTAAGTGGCCTTAACTACTATGTACTTACATCAAAAAATAAGTACAATGTACTTATTGTGTTCATATTCTATTGCAAAACACTTTTGCTGCTATTGAGGTGGGATACGGGTAAGGTTAGGGACAGGTTTGGTGGTCTGGGTAGGTTTAAGGGTGGGTTAAGGTGTAAGGGATGGGTCTACAGTGTAATTATAAATGTAATTACAGATGTAATTACATGCAGGTATTTTAAAAATATAAGTACAATGTAAAAACTTGTATGTACACAATAAGTGCATTGTACCAAATTATTAATTTACATGTAAGCACATAGTAATTAAGGCCACTTAATATAAAGTGGGACCATTATTATTATTAAACCTAAATATAATATTAAAAAAAGAGAAAAATTACAAAAACAAAAACAAAAAAATACTAAAAATCAAACAAAACTGAACATATAAAAATAAATGTTATTCAAAGTAAAATAAAAATTATAATAGTATATAAATAATACTAAAATAACACTACTCAATATGCGTATTTACGTGTGTTTTCAGTACACAAAATAAGTAACTTAGTTAAAAATGTAACAAAATTACTAAAAAATTAACTAAAACTATTAACATTAAGAAAACTATTAACTATAGCATTTTTGCTATTTGAAATAAATCTGAAATAAAATAAAAAATATTAGATGAAAAACTTTAAATGAAGATGAGACATGAAAAAAGACAAAAGCACATCAAGTTACTACAAATTAAACTAAATTGAAAATATAAAAATAAAAGCCTATTAAAAATATAAATTATAACCTATAATTGTAGATGAATAATACTAAAATAACACTACTCATTATGTGTGTTATGTTTTCAATACATGAAAGAAGTAACTATCTACATTTTCCCTAGTAGTTCAGATATGTAGTGTAATTTTTCCAATAAGAAGCTACTTTTCAAACAAGCAGTACCAGGATGTCTGATTGATTTTAGTGAAACTCATTTTTCTGATACAGCTGTATGTTCCTGATTAATGTAAGGTTGTGCACTGCTGTACAGACCTGCTCATATTTCTCCAGCTCGGTGTGGTAGATCTGTCTGATCTGGCTGAGTTTGGCTCTGTAGTCTGAGTGCTCGATGGAGTTATCAGCTCCCACTCCCACTGCTGCTGTTGCCGTAGCAACCGCCGCTGCCCCGCCCCTCTTCTCTGGTCCGGACACGCCCTCTGCCAGCAGCATGTTATCCAGACGCATGAGCTGAGGGTCCGGAGGATCTTCATCCTGACTGCCACGGATACTGAGACCTGCCACAACACATACGGAAAATAGGCAATTTAAATATAAAAATATGCAATAGACAAGAACTACATCTTTATATTTGGTCATTTTCAGGTGCGTCTTCTCTTAAACAGGTTCAGAAGAGTTCAGGTACATTTATACAGTATGTACACACACACACACACACACACACACACACACACACGTGTATGTACAGTATGTATCTATCTACAGTATATATAATTTTCATTTATAATATATACTTTATAATTTAATTCAATTATATATATATATATATATATATATATATATATATATATATATATATATATATATATATATACATACATACACACACAC